GAGACTTTTGGCACGTTGTTAGGAGTAGGCAGTCTTTGGAAAAGGACATAATTCTGGGAAAGATCGAGGGTCTGCAAAGGAGAGGAAGATCCTCAACAAGATTGACAGACACAGTGACTGCAATAATAGCTTAAGCACAGTAGAGATTTCAAGGCTAGTGCAGGACAGGGCAAGGTTTTAATCTTTTGTACATAGGGTTGCCAGGAGTAGGTGACTTGGAAGCACGTATGTCAAGAAGAATATTGAAATGTCACATGGATATCAATAGTTAGCATGAAGTTAGGATTTCCCTACAGACTTTTATATGCAAAAATATTTTAAGAGAATGTATTCTATTTTTTTTACATAGTATAAATATAAAAAAACAAATCCAATAAATGTTGACATTGAATGAGTTTTTAAAAAGGTTGGGTTCTTTTGCCCTTTAAAAAATAGTCCCTGACATCCAGGCGTTAGCCTGTCACCCATAGCTAAGCTTAAAAATTTTTTAAAAAGCCACAAACCTCTAGATAGTAAAATTCTCATATACTGTCGGTGGGATTGTAAAATGGTACAGCCACCCTGGAATGTGGTTTGGTGTTTCCTCAAAAGCTGAACATAGAAATTCTATATGACCCAGCTGTTCCACTGCTAGGAATATACCCCAAGGAAAATAGAATTGAGACACAAATGGAGATTTGTACACTGATGTTCACAGCAGCATTATTCACAATAGCAAGATGGAAAGGCCTCAAATGTTCATCAACAAACGAATGGATTGAGAGATTGTGGTACATTCACGTAAGACTACGCAGCACTAAGGATCAACAGTTCTGTAAAATACTATAACAATGGGAGTCTAAAGAGCATTATGCTGAGTAAACTTAGTCTCATAAGGACAAATAATGATGCATGAGACCATCATTGTAAAAACAGAAGGATAACTAACATGATGTGGATGAAAGTCCTGTAGGGGGAAGGGAAAGGGGCTAAGGGAAGAGGAGAAAATCACGGGGTTTCAGAGTTTGGTGGGCAGAGGGAGAAGGTGAAGGAATTAGGATAGACCTACAGAAGACCTGAAAAGACCTGTAAGTGAGCAGTGGTGATTAATTTCATAAAAAACATTGTGTCAGAATGATCATATGAAACAATATGAATGACGGTATGTGTTAAATACAAAGTAAATGAACACAGTGAATAAGAGTTTTGTATGCAAACTAACATAAAATAATTTTAATAGCATGGAGAACATTAAAAATACCACTTTCCTGCAGAATTCAGTCAGTGAGCCAGCCTTACACTTCTGCTAAAAACCAAACCAAGACCCATCACTCTCAGACAAGGCAGATGTAGGATAAAGACAAAAGCCAAACCACTCCACAATCTCATGCAACATAAGCACAAACATGATGAACATTGTCCAAATCACAGAAATTACCAATATTCTCATGTTCTCACTCATATTAATAACTACTGCTTCTTTGTCAATGCCAATTTTGCTTTATTGTGTTATTTTTATGTTCTACTTATGAATAAAAATATCCAAGCCCATGTTCCTCCCTTATTCTGACAGTATACAGTTAAGAATAAAGCTTCTTAATTCCAGTCTATGTTAGCAGAATCAAATATTGCACAAAATCTGGAGAGAAGTGGATCTAAGAAAGCCAATGAAATAAAGGGCATGACAGGATATAGATGTTTTCTGACTCATGTTTGAGTTGGGACCTTAAATTATTCACATCACTCTAAATTTAGTGTAGTTACATGTGCGGTGTGGTGAATTCAGTTTGTTGTTGGAAAGATATTACATACACCCTGGTGCTAAAAATCTTAGGAGTTTTAGGACTCTCATTTCTTGTTAAATCACTGGAATGACGTTTGTGACACATGAAAATAATATATTTCACTTAAGAGTAATAATCACTTCTTCTACCTGTATATTTCTCTCTATTGTACTCAAGTCTAAATAGTAGAAGCAGCAAGGAGTTTGAAAAAAAAACACCCTTTAGTTAATGATGTACTTTGAAAAAGAAAATTCAATGAAGTGATTTGACTCGTCATTTTATAATATTTTAAAAAAATGCAGCTTCATTTTCTTGAACTTTTCAACACTTACACAAGCCCAAACAAGCGTATTGCTATCTTTTCCAAATCAATTTTACCACAAGAGTCCACAATTAAGGTTGCATAGTGGGATGTACTTGGGGTGGTGGGAGGGGTGTAGGGGATTGTGTACCAGGGATGGAGTGTTTCTTTTACTTTTCAAAGAGAAGAGCGAACTGGGGGCTGGGGGCGGGGAGGGGGAAGGAGGGCTGGGGGTGCAAGGAGGGCTGGGCAGGGAGAGAAGTGCAGCAGCAATGAATGAATGGAAGTCCAAAATCTCTGTAAGTGTTCATTAAAATTATTAAAATTTAAAAAGAAAGGAAATTCCTTTGTTTCCTCATAGCACATGTTCTCCATCAGGGCAAGAAGCAAATAAACCTAGTTTGGTTCAACTACAGATGGGTTCTTGGTGGGTTTTGCCTGGAGGGAACTGACACAGCAAATGTAAGCATCCCAACACAGAAAAGTAAATGTATTCGTTTGAGAATAACAATGTCATCAATTTCAGGTTTGCTTTTTGTTTACATAAAATAATAACTAAAGACATAATCAGTGGTTTTATGGCAGCATTCATGCACTATCTTCATCTCTCAGTTTTTTAATTCTGAGAGCAATTGTATCAAGTAGCTTTTACAAACTGTAAAAGAAAGAATCCTACACTTGAACCTAATTAGGAAGTAGAACCTTAGTACATGTATAAATTCACACATTAAAAAAAAAATACATCCGCTCAGGGCAGGACAGGGTTCAGAGCTGCTGAACATAGGGCCGCTATTCATCTCAGGCGACTCAATCAATAACATTCTATGACAGGTTTGGAAGCAGCAGTGGCATTCACTTCCTAAATAACATGCCTCCAGAAACTCTATGAACTTTGATAAATGTCGATAGTTATAGAGGGGCTTCAATACTTTTGTTTTGGGGTTGCTGAGTCATGCTCAACTCGAAGGCAATCAACAACAACATCAGAAACTACAAGGAAGGTTGAAATGAATGAAAGGATGGCATTACCGAATCAACACTACATTACAAATCATGCAGTTGTTGTTAAAATTTAATATAAAATGTAACATAAGTTTGGAAGATTACTTAAGAGCACTTAATTACATAGAAGCACTGCTTATCAACGGAAACAAACTCATCGGCATCCAGTCGGAATTGACTCATAGCCGGCTTTCCAACACATTTCTGAGGCATAAACCACAGCGGAAGGAAGGAGGAGTTTGTCCATCTGTGCCTTGTGGAGCAGCTGGCGGATTTTGAACAGCCAGGAAAGTACCACCTTTTGATCAGCACTGCAACTCCCTACCCACTAGGCCGCCAGAGTTCTCCTGTGCACAAACAGGAGCTACTTAATCATCCACTCAAGAGAAACTAATCTACTGATTTAAGGTAATTTACCCTATCCGATGATTTTTACCTGCACCATATGCTTGAAATATCAGAGATAAAAATGATTATAGTAGTAGTACTTGAACAAGAGAATGTTCATACAAATACCCTAAGGGAATCTGGTTCAGAAGAAGATTCTGACTAAGAATTCTGCAGAGGATACCCATGTTCTCTCCAAGGCTTCTAGGTGATGTCAGTGCTTTTAAATCAAGGATCATATAAACAGCAGAAATAATAAGGGCACGTTGCAAAGTTTCTGGGGCTAAAGCTCACACTTGTAATAATCATTTACTGAACTATACAATCCATGACAAGGCCTAATATTTGGTCTGCCAAGGGTTGGAGTCAGCAGCTGAACGTTCAAGGTTCCCCTGACAGTACTGAGGTAGCTGGTCAATGAAGATGTTTTCTGTTGCCTTAGCCATAAATCATACTCCACCAGGAAAAGAACAGAATATTTCTTTTAAGAATGAAAAGCAAAAGGGACTTTACCTTTACTGGGACCACCAATCTCATCAATTTTGTGTCTATAATTCTACAACCTTCACTTTCCAACATATTCCCTCTTCCATCTAACCCCCAACTTGGTTAAAGTAAAAAAAACCAAAAAACAACAAAATTAAAGAAATTTAAAATTAATTTAGGCAGTATAATTCAAATAATAAGGTATACTGATGATAGACAAGAATTCTTTGAGGGGTCCAAGGGGGAAGATGATCAACATAGTTACATACAAGTAAATCATGGTCCTCCCAAAAGTGAATAAAAATAGATAAGGCATGTGTTAGTGGGAAAACTAGCATTCATTATTAGTTTCAAGACCTGCAGTCTCTCTTTGATATCATAACAGCCTTGCAGATTTTAGGGCTTTGAAATAGTAAGTTCTCAATTTTACATTTAGTTGAAAAAGAGGAAAATATCTATCTACAAAGGAAATTTAAGCTCATGTTGTTAAATCAGACCCACAATAACAGGTGAAATACCTGCTTCCTGTTTTTGTTACTGTTATCTTTAAAGAAACCTCTAGAAAACAATGACTCAATTAAGAGTCCATAGTCTACTCAGATTTCTAGTATATTCCCAGAAGTTAAAACAACAGAAAACTCATTTTTCTTTTGTATTTAGGGGGAAAAAAGTAAGATTCATCTGAGTGTCAAGAATGCATTAGAACGTGTGTATGTGCTTTATCTCACTGCAATCGAGTTGAAAGGAAATCAGAGTTGGTTGGTTTTTTGGAGTGTAATTTGTCTATAAGGAGATTGTAAGTGAGCTTTCCAGGGCTGCCAATTGCCAGGGAGGAATTACCCATTTTCTTGCATCAGAGCTGCTAGTGGATTTGAACCCCCAGAGAAGTATCACATTTGTATAGGCAATGCAACTCTTTAAGAACTATATCTTGGTAACTCCCTATCTTCCACATAGTTCTTGATTATAATTAAGGAACCTTTAACACTGAGAAAAAGAAAAGTTACCATTGTTGTTGGAATCTTTTTCTTTTTAAATAATATGAATACAATTACCAGTACGAAGTGGTAGAATTTTGGAATCTTCAGACATTTTTGTTATAGGTTCAATCCATGGCTTTTCACTTGAAGCTATAGCAAAAAGAAATGGAATTTGCTGAAGATTTTTCAAAAGGAGCAAAAGACAGAAATATGTTGGTATGGTTAATTGGCTACCAGAGGCCTGTAATAAAAAGCACACACTGATATAGTTAAAAGACAAAATATATTGAGACCAGAAAAAAAATCAACATGCATTCATCCAGAACATATACTGGTGGTTAGAGAAACACTAGCTCTTGGTATCACCTTTTACATTATTAGTGGCAGAAAAACTGCTTTATGAGCTCTGAGAAACTATCAGATTAAAATGTTTCTTGAATTTACAGAAAACACAATTAGAAAAATAATTTGTTTTGTTTTCTTTTTGCCAACTCTTGTTTGGTCTAGTTAATTGATTTATCAGTTCATTAGGGTTTGCAGAGCTAAGATTCAGTAACTGTGCCCCACCATGGAAGGACGTAAAACACACCTTCAGTCTTAATTAAAACTAAATGTTAAGGGACTTTCATTACCCAAGGTGTCCCCAGGCTTCTCAAAAGGGAAGGGTGTTTCTGCCCAAGGAAATTCTGGAAGTCTGTTCGGAGCTGGAATGAAACATAAGATAAGTTATGACCTGAAGTGTAAGAAATAGAGAAAAGATTTTAAAAATACCAAATTTCAAAAATAAAGGTGCATAAAAGGCAAATTAACTCATGGCAAATAAGATGATGGTGTTAGTAACATTTCTTATTGCTATGTTTTAATGCTGGTTAATATAATACAGTTCTATGTTTTTAAGCAAATAATAATAGTCTGTAAATTTGAGGCATCTGGACTCTTATTAAACTATCATTGCCTTTGAGCTGGAACAGCCTCAAAGATGACCACTCTGCAGTGGCTTTTCAGAACCTAAGTCTCACAGGAGGAGACTGCCCATTATTTTCCTACTGAGCAGCTGGTGAACTTGAACTACCAATGAGGTGCTGCTTGGGTTAGCAGTGCAATTCCCTACAGACTACACCAGAGCTCCTCTCATTAACTAGTTTCCTCATTTCTTCAGCTATCTCTATGCATGCTGTTATATTTATCTTGTTTAAATTCAGACCAAGCAGTAATCACATCCAAACAAGATATAATAAATAGCTTTAAAAAATTTTTTTTGGTAACTATATTGCTATGTGTTTAAGGTCTCTCTCTTCCACTTAAAAAATTATTTTCCAAACAAAGAAATTTTAAGAGGAAATCTGAATAAAAATGATAAATATATCTCTTTTGTAAAGAGATATATTTATATGAAAATATTCAGGAAAACCAGAACATATAAAATTATTCAGTAGTCACACAATGATATGATTGAAAAGAATCAAACATAAATCAATATATGACACCAAAAGGGAAAAAAACCCTACATCCACCAAAACGATTTGCTATAAAGGTGAGTGTTTAGAATCTGCCATTACAAAATGAAGATTTTAAAACATTTAAATGCTTGGAGATTCAAGACTTTATTGTTCTGTATGCATTCTGTTCTTTCCTTCCTGAGAGGAGATAAATTTGAACGACTGTGTTTAAGGCTTTGAAGAATGTATAAAATTCCCACGGTAATAAGAAAGCTGCAGCGTTGAGTTCTTTTTACCTAGGGTGCTCAGTGGTAATTCAAACCTATGTATTAGAACCTTGTCTGATGTCTCTGGGAGTCTTCCGCTGAGAACTACAATAAAGAAGAATACAGTTAGTGAATCCTTGTCTTCAGGAGTTGACATTGTCTCTCAACCACGACATGCAGAGCATGCTTCCTAACAAGGACCTATGTGCACCAGGAGGCTGCTACCTTTCATGAAAATGCCTGGATTCCCTGGAAAACCTCCCTATAACTGTTAAAATACAAAAACATGCTTTTAGAGGGCAGTAGAATAGCATAGAAGACCACCACTATAAATAAATACAGAGTAAATACATGCTGCTTCTTCAGGACGGGAACACAATCAAACAAGTTGGATTCTCTTGAGTCTTCTGCTAGTATAAGGAGCAGGAAATTCTTGTAAAGAATGAATCACATTTTTGGGGATGCTCTTCAAGCTTAGAAAGCACAAGACTTCCAGAAAGCAACCCAAGTGAAAAGTACAGACACTGTCAAGACTTTTCCCAAGACAGTCAGCTTTCCCCTCCCCTTCAGTCTTTCAAGGGCAAAAGGTTGGTACTCCATTTTTGTCTATAATCCAAAAGCCTTGTTAATAAAAAACAAAATTAAGAAAAGAGTGCAGTTAGCATTAAGCACTATCATCTAGAACATCAGTAAGAAGTACCAAGGCATTCCAAGAACAGTGGGATTGGAGCAAAAAAGAGGAAAAGAAACTACTACCAGAAAGATGGGAAAGGGAAAGGAAGAGTCTAAAGAAGCTGGGACACTGAAGTCATGTTGCGCTCGCTCTCTCTGAATGTTGCGGAAGGTTTTCAAAGAAAGAAAAGTTCTTGGATTTACCTGGTGCTGTTTCTGAAATGTCTAACCCACTAGACACAGCAGGCTTAGTAGTTCTTGGAACAGTTTCAGTAGTCCCTGAAAAGTAAAAAAAAAAAAGAAAAAAAGCAACTTTATAAGTTATACAAGGAAGAAGCAATACAGGACTGTTTTTGCTCTTGAATTGTGATTGATATGAAGAAGCCATAATTGCTCACTTGCCCTTGCTGCCTAAGCTGCCAGCCTTCCCTAACTCTTCCTCAACTGTATTTGGTTCCTTTTCTATGTGATTTAAGGACACACTGACCTACTTCCACTAACATAGATACTATGTTCACCACAATTTTATCTGCCTGTCCTTTCCTCTTCAAATCCAGGGCTTAGCACAATGTGTGGAGATAAGAAGCACATAATACGTGTTTATTAAGTTAATTAATAAGGGAATTATGATTAAATTAATTATAAGAGAATATTCTTAGAGCGGTAAAAGTTTATTTAGAGTTATTACATTTTTAAGACCTTTCTCTTTCAAACTGAAATTAACATGCAGAGTTTGGAACTGCATTATAATTCTAATCAGGATGTAAGCACTCAAGTGGAGGATAGTCCCTACTGCTAGTTCAAAAGCACAGAAGACCTCAGGTGAATTGTTTAGGGGAAAAATAAAAGCCACTGAGATCCAGAATAAATTTTTAATCTGAGAGCTCAGAATTTTGAAGAGAAAAGACGTGAAATAAACACAGTAACACTGCAGAATAAATTATAATGTTTGCCTAAGTATTTCTGAAGTGGAACATTCTGAGGCAGGATTGGCAGAGAGCAAAGAAATATTTAGACTCTCCCAAAAGACACAGTGCCAGAGAAGAAAGTATAATTGGGGAAAATGGGTAGAGTCACTGAGGCATAAAAGGATTTAGAGTCATCCATTGGGTCATGTCTTTGCTTTTTTTGGCACTGAGAGGTGCTATTGAAACAATAAAAACAGTCATAAAAACAAACTAGGAATTTTCATCTTAATGGATTATCCCAGCAGCTTGAATAGATCCTACCTCTGTTCTGACCCCAGGAAGTTGAAGGTTAACTGTTTCTTTCTCTCCTTTAGACAGAGCCTTGTTCATCTTGCTCTATCACAAATATCTTTATTTGAACAAATAAGCTTTCCTGAAATCAAGTTATTCTGTTTCTTCACCAACTTTTATCCAGTAATGTTGCAAGTTGTGTTAACAGTACAATTAAAATCCACTTAGATTGGAGTTAAATTGCTAAGTGTGAACTATGGGGCTCCCTGCTAGATATTCATTTTACCGAGTCCTATGTGGGGTATAATTGCTCTGGAAAGAACTTTCATCCAGACAATGTTTTCTCAGTGGGCTGGACTTGCCTAGTTCATCCAGGCAGGAAACTGAATATTATTAATAAAAGCTGATAAACTAAGAAGTGCTTACTACTGTTAATTCTTTAAAGTATCTTTACCAAACTATTATATTTTCTTTATTCTAGGATCCTAAATTTTCCATAAGATACTTGGTTCTAAATGTATCCAACGTACTTACACAGACATCAATCTATGTATTTGTGAGGGATATAGTACATTACATTACACTGGCCATTGTAAAAATGAAGACAAGGAAAATTATCTCAGATTGTCATAGAACAATAAATAATAAAATACATAGTTTTATAGTTTAGTATAAAAAATTTCAGAATATTGAGGTAGTAAAACTTTCATTAAAATGAAAACACAGATTCCATATTGCATATCAGTTATATGATTCCACAGTCCATTTGGTATTTGTTGTCCTTCGAGAGATTCAATGAAAGCTCAGAAATATTTTACTGTTTTACGCTTTAAAATAAAAAAAAATTTCCCACTGACTCACCACTGAAAACTAGTATAGATTTGTAACTATTTGAAAAATATGTTATTTATTCCATTCAAAATCTGTAACAGAGGGCATTACCTGTTATGGGCTGGGCTGGGATTTTTTCTACCTCTTGTGTTTTAGATTCAGCAGGTAATGCCAGGGTCTTATTTGTAGCTAAAAAGCCAGAGAAGAAACAATTTACATCTTTCCTCTTAATTACCATGACCCAAAGAGCTCATTTAAAACAATCAAATACAAGTCTATTTCAAGCAATGCATTCTAATTTTATCCCCTCCCATCTGCCAACAATTTTCTGGAGATCCCTGGTGCTGTAGACTCGTGCTGCTAACTTAAAAGCCGTGCCTCCTGGAAGTTTGAATCCATGAGCGGCTCCTTGAAAGAAATGTGGCCACTTTCTTCCTTCATGATTTACAGCTTCTCAAAACCCACTGGAAGGTCAGCTTCTGAAGGAGGTCAGAAGGAGGTTCTGACTCGAGGGCAATGAGAGTGAATGAGTAAATCCAAAGAATGACATAAAGAACACTTTCTTCTTTTCAGTTAAATTAGGCAGACACACCATATTTATTTACATAAACCAATGAATTTAAAGATGATCATAACTATATCACTTTCATGTTTATAAAAGTCAATCAATGTTTAACTTATACTGATGGAAGATATGAGTCAGAAATAGCTTGATAGCACTCCACAACATTATTGATGTAGGCATATGAGGATTCCTATACAGAGCTGATTTTTAAATAAATGAATTATAATGCTAGATGATGCTGTATTTATTGTTACTGGGTGCCATCAAGTTCACTATAACTCGTAGAAATTCTATGGACAACAGATCTGAACCTGGTCCTGTCCTGCACCATGCTATTTCTGATATACTCAAGCCCACTGTTACAGTCACTGTGTCAATCCACCTAGCTGAAGGTCTTCTTCTTTTTTTCAAAGGAGTGGTCCCTCCTGCAAACATGCCAAAGCATGTGAGATGAAGCTTAATCATCCTTATTTCTATGGAACTACTTGGCTTCACATCTTCCTAGAAAATTTGTTTGTTCTTCTGGCAGTTCATGAAATAATTCAATACTTTTCTCTACATAATTCAAAGGCATCGATTCTTCTTTTGCCAGTCTCATTCATTGTCCAACTTTCAGACGCACAGGAAACAAGTGGAAATATCATGGCTTCGACCAGGCACATCTTGGTCTTTAAACTGACATCATTGCTCTTTAGCATTTTGGAGAGTTCCTTGAAATCAGATTTTCCCAGTGCGACATGTATTTTGATCTCTTGACTGTTGCTACCCAGGGTACTGATTGCTGATCCAAGTACAATGAAATAGTTAACCACTCCATCTGTTACGATTTTGCTTATTGGATCAGTTATGAGGATTTTTCTTTTCTTGATGTAGAGAAGTATGTAATCCATATTGAAAGCTGTAGTCTTTGATCTTCTGTAGCAAGCACTTCCAGCCCTCTTCCCTTTCAGCAAGCAAGATTGTGTCATCTGAATAACTGCAGCCAATTGATGAGTCTTCCTCTAACCCTAATGTCACATTCTTCTTTATATAGTTCAGCTTCTTAAATGATGAGTTACTCATCACATAGATTGAATAAGTATGGAGAAAGGATTCATACCACACAAACATCTCTCTTGATTTTAAAACAAGCAGTGTTTCCTCATTTTGTTTGGACAACAGTTTCTTAGACTATGCATTGGTTTCACCATTAAGTGTTGTGGTAGTCCCCTCCTCAATATTATCTATAATTTGCTATGATCCATACAAATGCTTTTGAGTAGTAAATGAAACACAAATAAGTATTTGATATTCTCTACTTTCGACTAAGATTCAACTGTCCTCAGTAATAATACGTTGAATAACATGGTTTCTTCTGAATACAGCTTGAATTTTTTTGGCAATTTTGTCAATGCACTGTTACAGCCATTTTTAATAATCTGTTTAATTTTACTTAGCATATGATGTTAATAATATTGCTTGATGATTTCTATATTCTGTTGATCAGCCTTCTTTGGAATGGGAACAAATGTGTACCTCTTCCAGTAAGATTGCCAAGAAGCTGTCTTCCAAATTTCTTGGCATAGACTAGTGAGCAAGTCCAGGGCTGCATCTGTTTGTTGAACTATGTAAATTGTAATTCTGTCAATTCCTTTTTCTTGCCAAAGTGTTCAGGGCAGCTTGAACTTCTTCCTTCATTAGTTCTCAATCATATGCTACTTCCTGAAATATTTCCATATGGACCAATTATTTTTGGAGTGTCTACTGGACACATTGTTGTTGCTGTGTGCTATCGAGTTGCCCATGACTCAGTGACCCTATATACAAGATTGTTGTTGTTATGTGCCATCAAGTTGTCTGTAACTTATAGCAACCCTGCGTACAACAGCCCGAAGCTTGCGCTATGGTGAACAAGTCTCACTGACTCCAACACACCTACCACATTTATCCCAGTTACTATGTCAATCCATCTCATTCAGTCTTTCTCTCCTGTGCTGTCCCTGCACCCTTCCAAGCATGATGTCCTTCTCCAAGGACCAGTCCCTCTTGGCCATGTGCCCAAATTATGTGAAATGAAGCTTCAAAATCCTAGCCTCCAAGGAGAAACTTGGTTTCACCCTATATAAGACAGACTTATTTGTTTTCTTGGTGTCCATGGTATGTTCAAGACTCTTCTCCAGCACCACAACCCAATCTATGTACAAAAGGTATTATAAAATGAGAACGGACTTGGTACCAATACTCAAGTGTGATTTAAATAAATGTGAATGTGAATTTGTATGTCATATTTACATGGCATGAATCTTTGATATCATTTTAAAATTCATTTCTTTTCCTTGTTCATTATTGTCAAATTGGAACTGTCTCGGAGCTGACTATCCATCAGGTTTTCAGGAGGCTGTAGATTGCACAGGAGAAGACTGCCCATCTTTCTCCTGGGAAATAGCTGGTGGATTCAAACTGCCCAAGAGTCACCTCCTTTGTGTTAGCAGTGTAACTTCCTATTCACTAGGCCACCAGAACTTTTCCATTAGTAAAGCAGTTTCCCTGAGTGTGATTAACAGCCTCTGAAAACCTGCTGAAGGGTTAGCTATGGGTTGGATCCAACTTAAAGGTACACAACAATAAAAATTAACAAAGTTAGTTTGTTGTTGTTGTTTCCGGAGGCAAGCTATTATGGAAATGGATTCCACTCCTCCTTCCAGTTAGTTTAGTAAACCAATTCACTCTGTAAATTTCCACACAAATCACAAGTAAAAGTTAGAAATAAAGAAAGAACATAACAAAGAAAAAAAAATAAGATCACTGTATAATTGTATAACTTTTATTTTCTTAAATGTTTCAATCTTTTCAGAAACTGATACCAATGTATTTTTTTCCTCTGCTTTTTACAAAAACTACAACTTTTTCTTTGAACCATTAAGACTATTAGCACAGGAAGAAATATTCAGAATGCAAATTATTTCTGTGCACTGGTGGTGCTACAGATTAAACATTTGGCTGCTAAAACTCCTCTGTGGCACACACATGTGGCACTCTGTTCCTGTAAAGATTTACAGATCCAGAAACCAAATGGGGCCTTTTTACAGTTTACAGTTCTATATGGTTTCTAGCAGTTAAGTAGACCAAATCACAGTGAGACGGTCCTATTATTTTCAGCATGCCCCACGGATATATTTTTAAATTTTATTTTGCTTACAGTTAGTAATGACACAGTTTTTTCTTAATGATTGCTTCTTTGTGACTATCTCCTTCTTCAGAACACTTTTGGTAATTCTCTATTTGTCATTCAATATCCTGTATTCTCAATGGTCCCTAGTTGACTAAGACCAGTTTTCCTTTTTATCACCACATCGACACCTTTCGAGGAGATATTCTGAGTTTGCTTTGCATCCAAGTATGTATTTAGTTGAGAGTTACCTTACTGAACCTAAAACCAAGCCATTAGAAAAGAAAGACTGTAAACTACTTTTCTATGGAGTAGAAAAATAAAGTTTACTGCTGTTAGTTGACTCTGACTTGTAGGGACCTCTCCAAGATTGTATATCATAACGGAGAAGATCGTCCATCTTTCTTCCCTAGAGCAGCTGGTGAAGTCCAATGATTGGACACATGGTCTTTTTTGGTTAGCAGTACACGATCATATGGACTAGACCACCACAGCTAATGCCTTATATAGGAGCTCTGATGGTGTAGTGTGTACCAGGTTAAACTCTTAACCAAAGAGTTGGTGGATTGAATTCACCAGGTGCTTCTTGGGAGGAAATATAGGCAGCCTCATATCAGAAAGATTTATAGCCTCAGAAACCAGATGGAGGGTGGCTAAGAGTCAGAGCCAACTAGAAAGCAGTGGGATCTGGGTAACATCTTTTAAGGAGCAGTGGTAAAGCTAGTAATCCAAAGGCTGGTGGTTTGAACCCACTAACCATTCAGCTGTGAATGGTGTGGCAGGCAGGTCATATAAGATTACAGCTTTGGACACTCTATGGCACAGATTACCCTGATCTGGGAGTGAGAATCCACTCACTGGCAAAGATATCACACTATTTCCAAATATGGTATTTCAGATGCCAAAGAAATCGGAGATAGAGGAACTATTTAAGTGAGAGAGTCCTTATGACTCTTCCATATAAAGTCATGGACATTTACCTACTCTGTCTACATACAATTATGATTTTAGAAACAGGAAAAGAAAGTGACCCCAAACTTGGGATATTTCCTTTCCTCTTTCCTCTTCACTACCTTTTTCTTCCTTCCTTTTCTGGCAGTCTTAGTCTCGGCTTTGGCAAACTCTTTACATGTCCCTTGGAGATGTGGGTGTAATACTAGCTTTCTTGTTTGTTTCTCTCATTATTCACAGCATGTGTTCTTAGAACAAAAGCTATTACAGTTTTGATGTCCCATGATGAGCCCTGGTGGAATTGGATTATTATTTTTAGGATTTACCCTCTTTAAAAGTATGACTTTATTGAATTCTCGTGAAATGTAATTAACTTCAGGAAAGTTTATTTCTCCCTTGGTAGTGTAATAAACAGTTTATGCCCAACTATCTTTTTAAAAAATTAAAGAGTAAATTGAAAATGTATTATTAATAATATTTTCCATTCTGATGGAACTTATGATAGGTAATTTTTTTATTTACTGGACATTTAAAAACATCCTGGCTTATAACATTTTTATTGCCATGTGTCAAAATTGTCATATGTCAAATTTAAGATATATTTGTTCAGAAACAAAAAGAAAATGTTTATTATTTGCAAGAATTTTTCTCCATTAAAATAATACTAATTTTTTCAAGAATCAAAAACTAAGCATGTATCAACTTTAAAGTCTCTAAATCAAATACATCAAAAGAACTGAACTAGAATTAAAGCAGTATGTGATATCAGTAATGTCACTTAAGACTAGAATCTAAGGACTATCTTATGGTTCAAAACTGATAGCAGTGGTCTAGAAGAAAATGAAAATTTTCAGTTTCCTTTTTAAACTTTGGTTTCTGTAGTCTTGGTGGATATATTCAGAGATTAAATTAACAAGGTCTTAATTGGCTTATTCTTCCCAAATCTTTCCCAATTATGGAGTAAATTCTACAGGTTTGGGTAAAAAACAGGTAAGTACAACAGTGCTGATCTTGGATTTCAAATACAGGCTCAATGAAGTAGTTTAGCTGCATGGCTCCACAGCATCTACATGGTGTAGAGATGTGTGTGTGTACAGCCCTCCAAGTGCCTTTGACATATTGAGTCCTTTCTGATAATTGAGTGCAGAAGCTAAAGCAGACCAGTGGACAGTACTGCTTTATTATTGTCATGCTTTGTTTGTCTTAACACTGAATACTGAAATTCTTTCCAAAGTCAATATTAGGATAATAAAGCTGACAAATCTGACCTTTCAGTCATGTCTTATTGAAATTATATGGGATATCTTTTGACAGAATAGTATAAAAGTGTAATTTAGATGAATGACTCAAATTAATAATTATGAGTGCCATCAAGTCCACTATGACTCACAATGACCCTATGAACAACCAATGTCCCTGCTCTATACCACCCTCACAATCTCTGTTATGCTCAAGTCCACTGTTAGAAGTCATTCTCTCTTTCACTGCCTAGAGTCCACTTTCCCCATTGTGATGTATTGTTCCAAGGACTGGCCCTCTTGACACCATGCCTAAGAGTGTGAGAAGTATCACTACCCTTGCCTCTAAGGAGTAAATTCTACAATCTCTCTCCAAGACAGACTTGTTTGTTCTTTTGCTAGTCCATGAAATATCTAATCATCACCAACACCACTATTCAATTTCCTTTGTTATCTCTTATTCCTTCTCCACCTTTCACATGCACATGAAGTAATTGAAAACATGGAGTCTGGTGCACCTTAAACTTTAACTGACATCTTCCTTTAAGAGTGCTTTGAAAGCAGATTTGCCAAATGCAATTTATCTTTTGATTTCCTGGCTGCTGCCGCCTTGCATCGGATTGTGGTTCCAAGTAAAATGAAATAATTGATAATGCCAATCTTTGCTCCATCTATCATTAATTTGACAATGATGTCTATATAAACATGTGTAGTTTGGATGATTTGATAAAAGTGCACTATCCATTTACAAATATAAGTGGAAATATAAAATTATTTTGCTTTGTTGTTGTTGTTAGTTAAGTGTGACTCTCAGTAACACTAAGAACAGACAAAGCACTGTCCTGTCTTGTACCATCTTCTTAATTTCTAACTTACTCAAGCCCACTGCAGCAATAACTATGTCAATCCATCCTGTTGAAGGTCTTCTTCTCTTTTGCCAACCCTCCACATTTCCAAGCATGATGTCCCTCTCCAAGGAATAGCCAACCTCTCTCACTCTTTTACTTTGAAGTGCTTTTGAGCTACAGCTCTTTATGAGATTCTTTGGTTGTCCAAACAAAGTTGGCATTTCTTCACGAAGTCAGTTGCCATTGAGTCCATTCAAGGTAACCTTGTGTTTTTGCAGTGTTGTTTAAGGCTAATTTTTTGGAAGAAGATGTCTAGTAAAGACTTTTCCTGTGAGGTGCCTAAAGTGCACTTGTACCCTCAATCTCTTGGTTAACTGTTGAACATGCTAACTGCTTCACTATCAGGTCTCCACCTAATCATCACAAAGTCCAAGTCCACTGCTACTCACTCAATTGTGTCTTGATTGCATCAGTGATATCAAGCATTAAGGATGTGGGAAGTTTTAGGGTAGTTTCATTGAGACCTGGAACAATAAGATGAACTGCAAGGAAATAGAAATAGATCAGAAAAACCATCACATCATAAAATCAAGTGCAGAGCATCAAAGATGAGGAATTATTAAACTTACTTTGTTGTATTGAATTTAGCTAAACATTTTAAATGTTGGAAAGATATGATAATATCATATAAATAGACTTCTTATATTCAACACTAAGTCTCCAAAAATCCTTGGCCTTCTAATACTAAGACTCAAAGATTATAGCATGGCTGTTTAAGATATTTTGTGAACAAGAAAGACAGTTATTAATTTTTAAAAGATCAGTGCAATATGTTTAAAAATATCACAGCACCCAGGAGCAATGATTTTGAAAAATACTATATAACATGGGAGAAGCTAGAGAGCATTATGCTGAGTGAACTAACTCAGGCACATAAGAACAAATACTGTGTAAGAGCATTCTTGTAAAAAGAAAAGAATAAGCAGTGAGATACGTATGGATATACAGAGAGGAAAGGGGCAGGGGTGGGAGGGCTGAGGGTGGAGGGAGGAGAAATCATTTGGTTGAAGAGTTTGGTGGATGGATGGAGGGAGCAGAAAAAAAATGTACATGAATTAAGCATAATCAGAATAAAATTAAAGAAGTATAAGAAAAAAACCTATATAACATAAGTAAAGTTATATCAAATAATGCATAGAAAGACTAATCAGAGGGGATTCATCAATCATATGCTTACTATATAAGTAATTGTATTGGGATATTTAAATTATTCTCTAAAAATAAAGTACTGCACTGTAACTGCCAAGCATTTGGGGAACATGCAGGATGGACTATGCCACTCCCTCTGAGCATAGCCTCGTGTTATTTTTCTAACACACTCTATTAATACACCCTGACTGAAGGAGGGTCTCTTAGCTTCTAGCATGGAATTGTCAGGTGTCAATTTACAAAACAATGAAAGGAAATGAACTGACACCAAACTAACAGACCTGCACAGAGTGTAAAGTTCCAAAAAGGCTCTAGTACAAAAGATCACCTGATTTACTAGATTCAGGAAAAGATTTCAAAATTTACTCACCTAGAATAGTTCCACCCAGAGGAGTCTTATCTGGAGACTTAATTGAAGCCCTGTGTGTAACATTCTGAATCACTGTTGAAACACATAAAGACAAAAATGTGATGGGGAAAAATATAGAACAATAAAAAGTAGACAATGCATAAACAATGATTAATAATAATGAATAAAGCAAACAAGAAAACATTTGGCCTTGAATAGCCTTGATCTAACTCATATCAATTAACAGAAAGAAGATTATAGGGCTGACTACATAGCCAGCCCAAACTGGAAGGGTCTTTCAGTAATGAAGGGCTATTCTATTATAAATATGTCCCATTCTGGTTAGACAATCTTCTCCTGTGCAATTTATAACACAGAAGGAAAAAACTCACTAGAGGATCAGCTATAAGTAAATTCTGGCTCAAAGGTACATAACAGCAACATTCTGAATAGCTAAATGTTCCTTCCTGTCTCTATGTTCTGCAATCTGTCCTATCTTCAAGTCATATATATATATAAATGAAAATGTATACTTTGAAATTTTAAAAATATCTTTGGATAACCTACCTTGCATTGACAGTGTATTTGGGATATTATATTGTCTTAAGATTAACTATTTTAAATTATCAATCTCTTCCATAAAGAATTATACATATCTGGAGGACATTATGCTGAGTGAGGTATCTCAGTCACAAAGAGACAAATGCTATATGGTGCCACTGTTGTAGAATGAGGCTGACATCGGGGTGGGGGTAAGACTGAGAAAAACTGGATGAAATATGTTTACGGCATTGAAGTCTATGGGGGAGAGAATAGTTTAAAAGTATT